TCTTGTACAGCAATTAACCACTAAGAAGAATATATGCAGTGTATTATTTGTTGAAACTGTACTTCCGATTGGATTTGAAACTGTCTCATTGCTATCTGTTTATCAATAAAACTTTGAAAAAAAAAAGAAGCAGTATGCATTTAGAAGACAAGAATGACAAGCAAACTAAGGATGGCCCTAGTATTACATTGCTATTCTCAGTGCAGTTGCTTAGTTCACAGGTATCAGCATATACAGTTAGTCAGGGTGATAATTTTACCAATTAACTGGGGCCACAGAGGAAAGTGATCAGTGACACAGTGTTCCTACAGAGAGTCACATAGAAAGAAAACATTCTCTGAGGCTTTCACAGACAGCAAATTGATCAAGCAATGGCCATGACTTATACTGATGGCTGACAGTTACAAAAGATCTACAAACTGCTGTACAGGGCTTCAGGGTAAATCCTGAGGGGATTTGATTTACCTTGTCAGATACAAAAGTTGCCTTTTTTGTTATATAGTTCTTGCTTTATCTTGGTCTTTACCATCTAGCAGAAAACATGAAGTACAAAAAGTAGAATCACTTTAGAAATCACTTTTTTGTGGTACTGGGGATTGAACTCAGGACTCTGAACTTGCCAGAAAAATGCTTATTCTACTGAGTTATCTCCTCAGCCCAATCACTTTTTTTTTTGGTGGCCAGTTCAGCCCGCTCTTGAGGTGGCACTGTCATGGCATGTGGTACTAGGGATAGAACAGTGACCCGTCTGTTTGTGTATACATGCCTAAGCAGGGACTTTGGTCCACTGAGCTATCTTGATGGCCCTAAAAATCACATTTTCATGTTATATTATTCTCGCTAAAAAGAGCAAGATTCCAAAAAACCATAAATGAAACACATCTCTATCTCTAAGTAGTACAAGGAAAAGTGACATCAAAATTCTTGGTGAGGAATTTTATCACACCCTTTCCCCTCACGGTCAGAAAATCGTGTGCTGTCCTGAAACACAAAATAAAATTGGTCCATGCTTCATGTACTCTGGGGACTAAGCCTGTATGACTTGCCATGGAAAACTCCCTGTAGCTTTCATGTAACTTGCCTAGCAGAGACCCTTAACATGCCTTTTTCCTTAATTAAGTCCAGTGCATATTGAAGTGATAAAGACCTGGGATTTTTCCCATTAAGCATGGTGGCATGCTCTAGTACTTTCTTTGTGTGTGTGTGTGTGTGTGTGTGTGTGTGTGTGTGTGTTTCTTTAAAATTTATTTTTTATTAATTTTATTGAGAAACAAATAACAATGAGACAGTTTCAGAATCAATTAGTAGGACAGTTTCAATATCAATACACTGCATATTGTTGTCTTCATAGTGGTTATTCATAGTACAAGATGC